ATGTATTTATTGTTTTCACATAGAAATTAAGACACAGATCAGATTTAAAATAGAGATTAAGCATTTGGAATATTTCAAATGTAATTACTTCAACCTTTAAAGGTATTTTATTTTTTTGAAACAAGGTCACACTGTATAGTCCAGCCTGGCCTTGAACTCACTATGTAACCCAGGCTGGCCTCAAACTCGCAACAGTTCTCCTGCCTCAGCCTCACTGGGATTACAGGTGTGCACCACTACGTTTAGCCTTCAAAGGAATTTTGCTTTGCATCAATTTTCCAGTAATTAAATTTGGAAAGTTGTTCATAAATGCAATAATTTTGTTTTAAGGTAAAATTAATGGAGCTGAGCATGGCGGCACATTCCTGTAATCCCAGCATGGGGGAGGCTGAGGCAGGAGAATCACAAGTTCAAGGCGAGCCTGAACTACATAGTGAGTTCAAGGCCAGTCTGAACTACATAGGGAGACCCTGTCTCAAAGGAAATAAATAAAAATTTTTAAAAGAGAAAACTGATCTTCAAAACCCCTCAAGGATAAAAGATGTCAGTGAAATTCTGGGGAAATTGGGACTCCTCTACGGTATGGTTAGGGTGTACAATGGAGCAGCCTCTGTGCAAAACAGTATAGAGGCTCCTCCACAAATTAAAATACCCTACGATCCAGCAGTTTCTCCACCGGCTACACATCCAAAAGAATTAAAGTCAAGATCGTGAAGCAGACATCTTCATCCCGCGTCCACTGTGGCATCATTCAAACAGACAAGGCTGCAATCCGGCCTTTTCCGGAGCCTGCAGCCTCCTCAGCAGCGCGGCTAGAAACGGCTTCCCGCTCGCTCACATCCTTGGCTGATGTCCGCTCCTTTGCACCTGCAGGACTGCGGAGCCAGCACCGGAGCCCGCATGGCAGCAGCCGGCCTCTTCGCGGCCAGCGGGAACCTGTCTCGCCCTGCCTGCGGAGACCGGGTCTGGTGACACCAGGGCGCCAGCGTGGAATCGCGGCCCAGCCCGCGCCGCTCACACTGTACTAGGGAGGAGCAGGTCCCGGTCCCGCCTGCACCTGGGCGGGGAGAAGACGAGGGCGCGAGTCCTGCGAAGCCACCCGGGTGTGTGTCCACCCATGCTCCTTTGTCACCATTAGCCTCTTCGCCACAACAGCTCCTTGTGCTCTTCCAGCCTAGTGTCCCCGGTGCTGGCCGGAGCTGCCACACAGAGCAAGAGAATGACGCACAGCTGCAGTTGTCCGACTTCTGATTTCGGGACCCCATCACACTCTTAGAAGCGCGGCTGAGGACCCCAAGAGAGCTGTGCTCTACACGAGTAACTGCCTTGGTTACTTTTCTCCTGTTGCTGAGACGAAGTACCCAGCACCCTGAGTTAAGGAGGGAACGGTTTACTCAGCTCACAGTTGGTGGAAGTTTTAGTTTGCAATCAGCTGGCTCCAAGGCAGGGTGGCACATGGCAGAGGGGCAATAGTTCATGCTGCAGAAGACAGCAAAAGCAACAAGAGCAAAAAGGGAGGGAAGCAAGCCTCTTTTTTCCCCTCATATTGTGAGCAGTCTACCACCCCACACCCAAACATCTAAATTTCTCAAGTTGACAGAATGTATCGCTTATGTTGCTTAGCTATATCCCCAGCCCTACATTTTTATTAATGCACTTACAAGTGACAATAGGTGCTGCGCATGGTAGCATACATCTGTAACCCCAGCACTTGGAGGCTGAGGCAAGAGGATCGCTGTGAGTTCTAGGCTAGCCCTGGCTATATAGTGATATAGTGAGTTTAAGGCCAGCCTGAACTACAGAGCAAGATTCTGCCTCAAAACAAACCAACCAAAAAAAAAAAAGGGTCACTAGAACTGGGGATATAGCTCAGTGGTAAAGAACCTTCCTAGTGCTTGTGAAGCCCTAGATTTGATCCCTAGCACCACACACACACACACACACACACACACACAGAGTAATTCATTACATAATAACATATATGACTTTTTTCCTTTCTTTTTGAGACAGGGTCTCACTATGCAGTGCAGGCTG